TATACCTTTGTTACAAACATAGACCCAATTCATGTTTACAGAGGAGGTTTACCTTTGTTACAAACATAGGACCCAATTCAGGAACATCATGTATGGCTTTTCCCACAGTCCCACTTCTAAAACAGTGTTCTAATCATTAAATATATCCTACTTGAATACAACTACACTTGTTCACCAGGAAAAAATGATTTGCAAAGGAAAACTGCAAAGATGAAGGTTGCAACTTTGAAACTTGGAACGAAATTTGAAACTGATTTGAATAATATTTAAACACAACTTTCTGTCAAAGTGATGATGGAATATCACCAAATCTGTGACAGATATTTATAGTAAATCAAAAAGTCAACTAGGATATAGGAAAATTGAAGTAAGATCAAGATACAGAGATTTGAATGGTCTAAGTACCAAACCGGTATGTATGAAAGTCAAAGGAGGGGAATATCATACAGATGAGTCATCGTCTCTTTGTTGATGTGTATTGAAAGAATTTATGTAATATCATTTTGGTGCTTTTGGTCGTGACTTTTCTGCCAAATGGTTAATAATACCTTGTACTTGAATCAAACATTAATATTAATTCATTTTTTCTGAAATTTGGTTGACGTTTCCATTTTTTTGTTTTTTCCCTTGGGCATTAAATCATGTTTTAGCCATTCAACAAGCAACTATTGAACACAACACATTACTGTGGTCAATATGTGAATGTTACCATGTTGAACAATATTATGAAAAATGTTTTCTTGTAGAATTAACAAAGAAAATGAAGAAATCTCACCACCACCATCAACATCATTCCCACGGTCACCATGGACATCACCATGGCCACCATGGCGAGTTTGGCTCAATAAGCATGCTCAAGAAGCATCACAAGTTCCATGTGGCCAATCCGGAGCCGTCTGCTATTATGGACGATGGTGGGTATTCCTAGTCTGGTAAGGAAACTCTCTATCCAGGGCAAAAGTGTCGCCTGTGATTTTAATGGTGCTGTTCAACTTTTGAATATATCTTCATTCATGTGTAAAAAGCAATTCTCACGACCATTGGTGACAGAATTATATTTCAAGACATTTAAGATCGATATGTCGTCTGTTACACATGTAAAGCTAGAACCATTAACTTCAGTAATATAAGAAACAAGCCACAGATTAGGAAAGAGGCTTCCCTAACATGGTGTTAAATACTTAAGCTTCTCCATGAATGGATTTGGGACTATTTTTATTCCCACTAAACTTTTAGACTTTAATACTTGAGATTCTCGTTGGAGATATTGGAAACTCTTTCTGTTAATATTTTGTAGACTTGGAAATAGTTTGGGCTGTTTCTGTTAATATTTTGTAGACTTGGAAATGGTTTGGGCTGTTTCTGTTAACATTTTATAGACTTGGAAATAGTAAGAACTATTTCTGTTAACATTTGTAGACTTGGAGATAGTTTGGGCTGTTTCTATTAACATTTTGTAATTTGGAGATAGTTTGGACTGTTTTATTTTGTAGACTTGGAT